TTTAGACTACGTACCGGACACGATTGCTTGGCAAAACATCTTCACAGATTGGCAGTATACACTCAACCCACATGCCCTCTATGTAACCTACATAAGGAAATGGAGAAGACCCACCTGATTCGATGTCCAGCCCTAAAGACAAGGACGGAAAGCCAGAGATACTGGGAAGCAAGAAGACGGCTAATGAACTACTATTAATTAACTGCTATAAATGTACCCCCCACCCTTGGGGGAAGCTGAAGTCAAAGTTTAAGGGCTAATGATAAATATCACAAAGCCTGCCATTTGAAATAATAATAATAATAATAATTGGTATGCACTAAAGACACATCAAGTGGTCCGACAACTAACTAAAATACCAGGAGACGCTTACATTGGGATGAATGATCTCTTTGACCACTTCCTTGGTGGATACGATCTTTGACCCGGCACCAGTACCGCCTTCATCACTGGGCAGAGTGCCAAGAGGCTGACCTCGGCCAGTTCCGAAAATGGCCGCTTCATGGGCACGTTCGCGCACCAACGTGTCATATTCTCCACTAGTGCCTGTCACTGCATTTAACCCACCACCGGTTGACTCGGGAGATTTGAATACCTAACAGCAAGATATATATATCAGTTCATTAGAGAAAGCATAAGCTATTTTACAAGGCCTACGTCACAGACCCAAGAGGCTATAACCACGTTAATTTAATTACATTGGGTTTAAGGTCGCAGCATTTCATTGGGGTTATTTCGAAGCTACCTAAATGACATTCAAGGAGTACCTTGGAGTCATTCTAATGAAATCTCGCATTCTGTCAACAAGTACACGCCGACAGTCATCAAAGACGTGAACTCCATCTTGACAAACGCGAGCGCAAATCACTGCGCCAAAAAGCACTAACGTTTTGAAGCAATCCATATCTTCATTGATGGCGTAGAAAATGTTAGTCACGCCTGAGTGACCAAGGGTTGAGCCTGGCTAATAAAAATGGCGGGAGAATTCAAATTCCGAAACAAGGAGGCTCCAAAACAACGTCCTATACACAATTTACAGTTAGAAACTGCTCCCAAAAGGTAAAGAGGAAAAAACCGGATTCTTTAAAAGCGCTTTTAGAATAATAAAATCTGGAAGGGGAATTGCTATTGGCACAGACAGAGAACTTAATAAATAATAGATTGACAAAAGAAGAGGCAACTGAATAAGGAAAGAAAGATATTGCTGGGTTCAAGGACATATTCAATAAAAAAGTGTACAGAGATCTATAAAGTGAGGAAGTTACCTGAAAGAGACGCAAAACAGAGAACGACCAAAGGATTCAACAAGTAAATTTTTACAAAAATATCGTAAATAAAAGTAGATTAAAACGGAAAATAAAAGGAACCAAACGTTAGCCCGTAAGGCAAAGACACATTTTGAAATGATAACAATTATTAAAGTTAAATAAACTTCGTAGAGCACAATGATAAAATGTCGGATTACAATTTACTATTAAAGGAGAATATAAAAATTCATAATTTTTTTAAATTTGTGAGTTAGATAGTTTTCACCAAAAATACTAAATGTAGCGTCTTTCTTACATTTTTGTTACCCCGAGAAGATCGGAATTCAGTCTGAACGAAACTGGAAGATTCGATAAAATTTATATCCTGATTACGAAGCTTTTCATTGTCTGATGCCAAAACCAAAGGCCTAAAAGGAAATACAATATAAAATTATCAAAAAACTAAGACAACAAAAGATAAAACCCAAGCAAGATTACTTTAACTGGATTTTCATCCCAGAGGGTGAATCCCTAAAATTGGAGAACATATAGAAATCAACGATAAGAAGAACAACAATGTAAAAAAGGATAAATCAAGGTTTATACGGGCTACGAGTACGACTTCTGTCGCGTTTATGTCTATAGTGTGGACTCCTTCAGTAAAAGGAAAAGTTAGTTAGAAAGAGCTGAACAATATTAACTTAGAAAAAATGCATAGATGCTTACGATGAACGCGAATGACTCCGCTTATGCTTGTGGTTGGAGTGTTTGCTTCTGCTGTAACTAAGCCAAAAATAAAATATAATATATAATGAAATATAATGATTCGAATGTAAGAGAAAATTTCCCATATTTGCAAGCTAACCTTGATGAGTGACTCATCGTAGCCCTAAATGTTTTGAATTAGGCGGCTTTAACAATATAATTATTAACATTTTCACGCCAAGTTTTGGCTAATTGCTAAAAAGTGAAAATATTTATCAAATACAGATACTTTAAAGCTTTTTGGCCTGTTCTGTAAAAAGTAATGCATTATTGAAAACTCCTCGGCATTTAATATTTCAAAGTTTATTTATTTATATCAAATGGCAGGCGTTTTGATGGTTATCATTGGCCATTTAGTTGACTTCAGGCTTCACAGAGGGGAAGGAACATCACAGTGGAATAAAGTCGAGAGGGGGGATAGAAAAGTGTTTCAAAGACGAAGGTAGAAAATTTAGAAAAATGCTATGTGAGTACTGTGGAAGTAGCCGAATATGACATACGGTGGGGTCAGAAGTCAACTGCCGGTATATAGACTTTTTTGCCGTATGAGTATACGTTGCCCAAGGTGCACCACGTGGGGGTAAGCCTATCACACACCCCAATATTTCAAAGTAAATTTAAAAACGAAACAATGATTAACATAGTCGTTTAAAGTTAAGATAAGATATAGTAATTTGTAAATAGTTACATATAGGAAGGTGGCAATGAATTAAATAGTCTAAGCATTATAAACAGAAATTATTAAAGAGGTATTAGATCGACACATATAAAGGAAAATCTTTATTTTCTCTAGAAAAAGTATCATTTACTATGTGAAATCAATTAGGCAAATTAGTAGCAAAGCACTCAATTGATGAAAGTTAAGGCTTCTAAAAACTTAATTTCTTTAATTTTTTAAGTGCTTAACTTCAAATTTTATGAAAGTAGTATATTGGAACGAATGGCTACTGCATTTACCGAATGAACAAAACACTGAAGATTAATTTTGTTATTTCCGTTGGCAGAACGAAACCGCTGAATAATAGTTTGGTTTCTTTTTTTCAGTAAAGTGAACTTCAGGTGTGTAAATCGTTTTTTTCTAGAAACTAGTAATTCTCACATAAAATGTGCCACAAATAGGGTTTAAGTAATTTCACGTAAATAATAATAATAATTCTGCAAAGTCCATTGTTTGCCTCATTCTTTTTCCCTCAAGTGGCTCAATTTATATTACTGCGTTTAAGTATGGGTAGCTAAATTAGCGCTTCATTGCAAACGCGTTGTCTAATTCTGACATATTATTTTTCCTCTGGGGGGTGGGGTGGGGTGTGCGATAGACCTACTTCCACGTGATGCACCCTGGGCAACCTATACTCATACGGCAAAAAAGTCAATAAACTGGCAGTTGACTTCTCACTTCAAATAACCATCACCCCCACTCTATGTCATATTCGACCGCTTCTACAGTACTCACCTTGCCTTAAACTTTTCTCTACCTTTGTATCTGTCTCTCTGACATCTGTGAATCATTCTTCTATCCCTCCCCCTACGCCTATCTCTTTTACACCTTTGAAGCACTCTTCTGTTTGTCACCCAATCTCGGCTTTTTCCACTTTGATGTTTCTTCACCCCTGGGAAGCCTGAAGTCAACTAAAGTGCTAATAATAACTATCAAAACGCATGCCATTTGATATTAAAAAAAAATTTTCCTCTGTTTGCATTGATGCAGTTACGCAATAATTTCAAGTAAATGTAATCAAGTGAGGAGGTCTAATAAAAACCCGCAGATTTTATCAAATTCCTCGGACATACGTAAAATTTGCTGCATTCACTGAAAACAGTTTAGGGACATAGTTGCATGTGACGATAACGTGAAAACATGAAGTATTTTTATATTATTTGAGCGTTTACTTCTGATTTAAATATATTTCAGTAGTAATACAAGGAAAACAGGAATATTTCTTGTAAGAACTATTCTGGGAGCTGCATCAGATGGAATTATAATTCTCATGTGTCACCGACAAATATTTATGATTTTTTATTTAAAGTACTATTTATTATCATGACCTTTCACGTTAATTCAAATATGCTAACTTAAAGCAAGCATAAATATAATATGTTAGCTTGTGCCCTTCAGATATAAAAATTAATTTAATCCCGGATGTGTGCCGCTTGTAGAGGTTTGCTAACGGTACTAAGAATTGACTTTTAGTCGATAACCTCTATGACAAAAAGTCATCCCTAATACAGAGGAGACCCGGCATATGGTGTGGAACATGTTTAGTTGGGGAAATGTGCAACTGACACGTATCTTAACCATTAAATACAGTACCGGATACGTTGACCATACCGTGACTGTTGACTGTTGATTGCCTGAAAGGTCACTGAAGTCTTGTCCTCACTTGCTCCCTAACACATGTGATGACACGCCATTCTTTCCATTCTTTCTTCGGTTCAGACACGTTAGTTGTTTTTGTGCTTTTTACAAACTCTTCACTTTCAACATAAATTAGCTTTGCTTCCAAGTCTTTTTTGTCTTTATTTTACTCGTTTTCTTGCCAGGTCTTTATTTTCTTATTTATTTATTTCAAATGGCAGGCGTTTTGATAGTTATCATTAGCCCCTTAGCTGACTTCGAACTTCACAGAGGGGAGAAACATCAAAGTGAGAACAATTCAAGAGAGGGGAGGGGGACCGAAGAGTGATTTGGAGATGTAAAAGAGACAGACACGATGATAGAGAGTAGGGTAAGGCGAGTACTGTAGAAGTGTTGGACTATGATATACAGTGGGGTGATGGTAGTTAGAAGTCAGAAGTCAACTACCGGTTTATAGACTTTTTTGCCGTATGAGTATACGTTGCCCAGGGTGCACCACGTGGAGGTAAGTCTATCGCATACCCCATATTATATACTAAAATCCACCAAAGTAGAAATTGGATGAAGAACGCGTAGGAAATTTCGAAATTGTGATCTCTCATCAAATACATTCGAAATGAACTTGTAATTTGTTTATTTACTTATTTATGGCAAATGACAGGCTTTATGGTAGTCATCACTGGCCATTTAGTTGACTTCGGGCTTCACTGCGGAGAGGAATATCAAGATGGTAAAAAGTGGAGAGATTAGGAACTGAAGAGTGTTTCACAAACAGGTAGGGTAAGGTGGGTATGTGGAAGTGGTTAAAAATGGCATTCAATCGGGTCATGGTAGTTTGAGGTCAAAATCAACTTCCGGTTTATCGATTTTTATGCCATATGAGCATACGTTGTCCATAGTGATATTTCACAAATGGTGAATGACCAATCACACCCCTTGAGAATAAAAGCGAAAATAAAAAAAGGCAAAAGCGAATCCGAAAAAATATGCATTTCTGTAATTTACGCTATTCCATATAGGCATTTTGGTACAATACACCTCCGTTGGGATTAAAATGGGCATATGTTTTCGTTCGATTCTTTGCTACTATTCTGCGATAAATATTACAAACACATACACATACATATGTATATATATATATTTATATTTATTTATTTATTTCAAATGGCAGGCATTTTGATAGTTATCATTAGCCCTTTAGATGACTTCGGGCTTCACAGAAGGGAGGAACATTACAGTGAGAAAAATTCGACAAGGGAAAAGAAGAGCGATTCACAGATGTAAAGGGGACAGACAGACATAAAGGCAGAGAAAAGGTTAGATGAGTTCTGTGGAAGGGGTCGAATATGACATGCAGTCGGGCCATGGTAGTTTGAAGTCAGAGGTCAACTGCCAGTTAATAGACTTTTTTGCCGTATGAGTATACGTTGCTCAGGGTGCACCACGTGGAGATAAGTCTATCGCACACCAACCGATATAAATATATTTGCCCAAACTAATTTGTTTAAAGTGGGCTGACTTATTTGCGAGGGGGAGGTGGAGTTGGGGGGGGATGTATTTTGATACAAAAGTTTCCCTATTTAGAAAGCAGGGATAGGTTAGAAATTTCGACCCTGAAGACTAAGAACTAAGTTGTAATCCTAAAAGCTTTTTGCAGATCAACACAACGCACACGTCAATATAGCGATAAGCTTTGGGAACTTATAAGTAAATGGCAAATGAAATCAAGTCAAAAACCAGAGAGGCAGAAGAAGTTTGGTGAAGAGGGTAATTAAAACCCCATAGGAAAGTAGATACCTGAATGGATATTCATATTAGCCTGACATGATAGTCAAGTATTTTGATAACGCCTGCATTATTACTATAACATTCAACAAAGGTGGGGTGTGAGAAAGACTTGCCTACACGTGGTGCACCCTGAGCAACGTATACTCATACGGCAAAAAATGTCTGTTAACCGGCAGTTGACTTCGGACTTCAAACTACCATGACCTGACTCCATGTCATATTTGACCCCTTTCACAGTACTCGTCCATCCTTTTCTCCGTCCTTTTGCTAGTCTGTCTCTTTTACATCTGTGAATCTTTCATCTGTTCCCCTTCTCGAATTTTTCTCACTTTGATGTTTCTCCTCCTCTCTGTGAAGACCGAAGTCAGCTAAAGAGCTAATGACAACCATCAGAACGCCTCCCAT